ATATATATATTTCCATTGTCAATGTACATTCCATTTCAACATAAGCTTTCTTCACAAACAAAAAGTTGGCATCTAAATAAATACTATATAAAATAGAACTTCAAAATAAATATATCTATAAAGGGAAACTTTTATGTGAGATTTTTTTTTCTTTTTGTAATATCTAAACAAAACAAAACAAAAAAAAAGCACAGATCTCGTTTCTTAATCCCCATCAARGACATTGCAAAGGTATAAAGGAATGGAGTAGCAACTATATGAAARTTTTTCTCAAAAATCCAAGGGGGCATTGATGTGTTAAAGTCACAGCAGTGGAGGAAAAAACAACAACAAAAAAAAAGATAAATATTTTAGGTGTTGTCGATTAATCCACGGCAACAACAAACTAGCGAGCTGAGTCAGAAGCAGAGATAAAGCGTTATTTTTGCCACGTCTGAAAAGAAAAGGCAGCAGTTGTTGGAAAGACAGGAGTCGACTGGTGATAAAGATGAACTAAAATTTAAAGAAACAAAAAAAAAATGGAGGAAAATGTGGCAAGAAATGAGGAGAGGAGCCTGAGTCTCCTGTTTCTGTGGTATGACAAGTTTATGAACAGCAGCTGTGTTTGTCAATCAAGTCAAACCAGGGGTGTTTGTTGGACTTTTTTTTTTTGCGGAAGAAAGGAGGGAAGAGAAGAAGGAAGAAAAGCGAGAAGGAGAAAGGAGCTCTGACACTGAGCAGTAACCGCAAGAAAAGGGCTTGACTGTGTTCCTTGTGTGGATTCAATGAGTCCACAGTCTTCAGGACTCACAGAGGGAGTTAGCTTAACCTCTCGACTGCTAATGAGCCACGGATAGCAGAAACAGCAGGTTCTTCTTCTTCTTCTTCTATTTTATTGCCGGGCACACTTTTCTAAATCAAGTGCAAGCGATAAGAAAACTTGAATTTTTAATTGTCAAACCCTCAACCCACCACAGTCCTTTTAACGGTTTCTCGCAACCTCGAAAAAATAAGAAAAAAAAAAAGAAAAAAACATATTATTCTTAACCTCAAAATATATATCTAATATATTCTCTATATATTTTGTACTGAATCGTAGTTATAAGGTACCATGCAATCTTTCAAGGACATTTAAAAGTCTCTTCTAAGGAACACAAATGTTGTGAAACTATTTACAGCAAAGAACATTTCACCTGCATAGCTCTATTACTAAATTGTCAAAACATTTGTGACTTTTACTAGGCCTCTGCTCGCTCGTTCTCACTTTTGGCACCTTTCTCTCGGACTGAATTGCTAGGTTCTGAGATATTGCCTCACACATTCACCAAAAAATAAATAAAATAAAGAAAAATAAGAACTGTTTTGTTTTTCACTTTTCCTTTCACGATTCCAGCTTTGTGCAACAAGACAAATATGATTATGAGCAAAGTTAGGCACCCGAATGGAAGATAAGGGGTCCAACTTGAAAGGGAGACATGTTTCGGGGAGCGACGAAGCCGATATGCCTTGATGCCAAATTTAAAGGGCTGCTCACCTTTAGTTGCTGTCAACTCCGTTTGGCAAGAGTGCATACCAGTTGTGATCACTCAGACTGCGAAAAATAAAATGCTACTGTATAATAGCTTCCTTTGGCAAAATCCTAAGAACATCATGCAAGCCACAAAAATAGACTTCAAGAATAAAAGGCTATCTGACTCATTCAGCTTTGCAGCATACTGATTTGAATTTCATGAAGACACGGGTGTGTGTAGAGGTGGGTGGAGCGCTGTGGTCTAAATGCAATGTAGGCCATTGGAATATAGGATAGCTGAGGTGGTTAATACTGTGCTTTTCTCCTATAAAGGTTGTGCAAGTGGCAGGTTGGATTTGAACAAAGGCTGACTAGATACAGAGACCACAGGAGCTCCGCTAAACCTCTTCACCTGCATCCCTTCGAAAACGTTACTTCCTAGCCCACTCTCACTTAGCTTACCTATTTTAATTGATTAACGATTGCCTATTTTCTTTGTTGCCCCTAAATGTTTCTTTGCCCTTCTGTGCAAAGAGGAAGCAGATCAGGCTCTTAGGCAGTTCAGGACTCAACATGCAGTAGGCCAAGTTCTAAGAGAAGTTTACAATCCCTGAGAAGGTTGAGTGGTTGGGTTTTATTATTTTTCTTTTCTGTTTTACGTTTGCTTGATTTTTGTTTTTACACATTTCTCTACTACAAATCCACTTCTAGCACGGTGGGTAACCATTATACTAGAGCATGCAGATCGTGACATGCATTACATCTAAGGTGATTGGTGAACAGCATTCAAAAAATATCTCAGAATGTCTAAGATCAACCACCCAGAAATAGAAAACGAACTGCAACGTGATTATCCTTCACTTGAAGCACAACTGCTTACATGAGTGAAAATTATGGGAAAATTACTGTCATTTTAACGCCTAGGAAGGGGTTGTTTTCACAGCTCCTTCATGGAAATAAAACCTAGAGATCAAATATTAGCAAGCTAGCATTTTTAGAGGAAGAAATGGCAACATTAGAAGACGGTAATCATCACATGGCCTATCATAATGCCACAGTATTTTCTAGATTACTGGATATTTTCTTGCTTGACACCGGGCTGTGCTTTTGGGGAGATGGGTGGGATCAAATACCATTTTTTTATTTTGAAGTAATATGAGGATTATCAACCAGTTCCTGTTTAGTTAGTGTTTCGAAATTAGCTGAAAAATATTGAGCAGCAGAGAGGTACAATGACTTTGTGCCGTCATCCACTTTTGCAGATCACAAACGCCAGTTCCACAATCTAGTCTGTTCTTGTCACTCTTACAAAACATAAAAATTAAATAAAAAAACATGTCAGAAGGCCTGTTAGCTATTTCTACTAGCTACCTCTCTCAGTTGGCCCATTTTGACCATCCACACTATTAAACATTGGTACCTTTTGTTTTACACAAGTCATCTTCCAGCAGATTAATGGGGTAGTTTAATGGGTTGGTGTTGGATTGTCCAGTCCATAGTGAGTAAGCACTGTGTGGTCCTGTCCACATTCTAGTAAGGTCACGGCCATACAGTTCAGTCCACTATCACGACCCCTGCTGGTTCTTTTCTGTCCCAACCTTTGCTTCCACACCTCCAGTTTTACTAACAGGGACGCATACGCCACCCTGCGTGCTCTTGCAGCGACAGCCGGGCCTGCTAACATTGTCATAACATTTCTGTCCCAGTTTGGCCAGACCCATGGCTGGTAGATAGCAGACGAGGCATGGCAGAACCATGGAGAGGGCAGCCATGAAGGACCAGCGTGCACAGCAGTTAGCCTGGGAACACGAGCAGGGCTTGTCGGCGCAGGAGCCTTCGTCGTCCTCGTCCTCGGTGCAGTGGTAGAAGATCCCTTTGACCAGGCACATGCAGGTGGCTGTGTCCACCAGGCTCTGCGCAGAGCACAGGCACTCCTGATTACACACCCAGCAAGAAGGTAAGGTTCGGGGGAGTGTACACTCCGTGCATCTACACTTCCCACAGTGCTCACAGAGAAGCAGGTGCTTCTTCTCGGTTGGGGAGGAAGGGATCAACGCCAACCCTTGCTGACCCCTGTTGGAGCACACTCCTCCAGCGGGAACCTTAGCAGACTTGAGGTCTAGTGATTTTGAGGAAGAGGAGCAGGAAGAAGCAGAGGAGGAAGAAGTGAGGGCTTTAGATTCAGAGGAAGAGAGGCACCCAGGAGTTCGGGTTGTGATTGTYTTGATGGGGCCCTGGTGGTGGTGGTGGTCCACTGTTGGCACGGGCGCAGCGTGGTCCAGCAGCCTCTGATCAGACGAGGTGCTGCTGCTGCTGCTTATAGAGCTGGGCCTTCCGCTGAAGGAAATCCAAGGGTGGGTGGTGGTATCCTGGTGCGTGTGAGGCTCACACCTGCCCTGCTGCTGGGCCTGATGTTGATGATTGTGGTGATGGTTGTGGTTTGCCCCGAGGAACGCCTCCTGGTTCTGACCCAGCCAGGTGATCCTTCGATTCGCAGACTTCTGGCTCAGAGGCTGCTGAGCGACGATGGCAGGGCTGTCGATGTAGTCATTCTCCACATGCGAAGACTTGATCTGGTCTATGGGGTAAATGGCGACCGGATGTTGAAGACGACCGTAGGGCACTCGACTGTCCAGCAGGGGCTGGGATATGATGGAAGAGGACACTCCGGGGATGTGGTGGGGAACCCTGGACTCCATGTGTCGGCTGGTGCCTCGCACGTCTTCACTCTAAAGTGGCATTTAGCAAGACTGCAAAAATAGAAACAGACAGAATTATGGCTCACTGTACAGCTCACAGTTTGGCCTTTGATTGAATTGTTTTTGTCTCAATATATAAAGACTAACATATTAGTTAAGGTATTATGTTGCCAACCAAAACCAAAAATATRTCGGCTATGTCTTTCATGTCTAATTTGAGCTTTATGTCATTATATAAAGAAAAAAAAACATTTGAAGACTGAGACTTTCTAAGTGTGTTAAGTAGAATGATTAGTTCAACTCRTCTTACTTAATATGAAAAGAGGAATTCTGTTTATTTTAATTCACAAGACAAATTTCAGCTTTTTAAATGCAGCAAATGTTAGTTTTCCGTACCGAATCGTCGCAGTTCTTTGAAAAGCGCCTTCAAACTACAGGGATTTTTTTTTAAAGACTGAGCACCAACAGGGGTGTTCAGTCTGAACCTGCTCCATTCTAACTTTGACATTAGAACAAAAACCTCTCATCACCTCCCCCTCTAAAGAGCAGGGAGCACCACAGAGCAGGGCTTGCATGCAAAAGACTCCAGAGATGCAAAAACAAGGCAGAGGGGAAGGCTGGATGAAAAGAGAAAATAAAAGACAGGAGGTAAAGGGAACTGGTGTACAAACATTTAACCCTAAAAACGGTTATACTTTATTTCTTTCGCATCAAGTCAGAGCTTAAATAAACACAAATCTGAGTCAGAGAGGGTTTGAATTTGTGAATGGGGCCTGATTTTTTGTGAACRGCAGCTGTTTGTGAATGAGAGCTGCTGACTGCTCTCAGGCATGAATCAGTGCGCTCCAGTTATTGTGCTCAATGAAATCGCTGGCATTTATTCTTTCAATGAGTGCTCGACAGCAGGTAGACCCCCACGGACAAGGGGGGGTGGAAAAAGAGAGCAAGTGCAACCCATATTTCCATTAACCTAGTTCTGTACGACTGGAGCTTAACCCACACACTTCTTTTTATCCAATCATAAAGGTTTGAAGAAAACTAGGATGGAAAATGTGCCTTTTTTTACTCTTGTTTTTCTTTTTTTCCTTCCCTATCTGTAAAAAAAAAAAAAAAAGCCTGGTAGGGAAACCTGTTGCGAAATATCAGTCACGGGCACGAGCGCTTGCGATCGTCAAAATCTGGACTATTGTGAGCTCCAAACCGGAACTACGCGCGCGCAAGTGCATGCATGTGTGCGTACGTGCGCGCGCGTCTCTCCCGTGAATATGTGAACGGACTGAGTCATAAGAACCGGAGGTGGCCGCTCGGTAAACTCAAACAGAACGATTATAGGTGCCGTAATAAGCGCTTACATGTGCAGAATAACATGTTTGGAGCTCTTTGGAGGAGAAGGAAACAGCGCGTGCCGCGGGACAGCCGAGGGGCTTCTCTGTGCGCAAACCTGGACGTTTTAATCCAAAAAAACAATCCGATTATAGCGAATAAAACGTCTTTTTTTTTTCTTTTGGAAATTCAGCGGATAAACGAAGGACAGGCGCACACGCGCGCGCAGCTTTGGACTTGTTCGGTTCGGCACGGAGACGTGAAACCAAATCAGTTCCGCTGCTTATTGATTTTGACAGGATCTGTAGGGGACGTCACAGGAATCGCGACGCGACGGATGGTGAAATATCAGCTTTTTTTTTTTTTCTAATCTCAGCGATTTGACTTGAACTATCCTCTACAGAGGCACGGCTCGGTCCAGATGTTGTTCTGGAGAAACTGGTTTGATCAGAACAGTTTGCGCTCACGACTTCTAGTCATGTTAAAACAAATAAAAATAACTACAGGAGAAGAAACGGAGAGCAGAGGTGACTTACTGTGGTTTTCAGGATGCAATTCTCATCTCCTCCTGGCGCACGTAGTAATTAATAGTCCAGTCGGGAAGGAGTGAGAAGCTCCAAATAAAGACAAATCCAAACAATTCTGGAGATTTTTTTTGTTTGTTTTGTTTTTAAAGACAAAGCAGAGCTGGATCTCCGGCGCTCTTCTCCTCCTCCTCCTTTCGCTGGTGCATAAAAGGCGACTGCGGATGAGGACGCGGAGCTGTGGATATGATGTTGCAACCACCGAGGGGGGAGGGAAGAGCGTTTTTATGAATGGGAGGGTAGGAGGAAAGGAAGGGGACGGCGCTGCGCAGATGCCTCCGCTCACCCCC